GAATTTCAGAGAGTGACACATTTTACAAAGAGGTAGGGAGGAAATGTATAGTTCTCTTTTGAGACATTTAACCATGAAGGTAAATGAAGAGGATGGATGGGAGGTCAGGGGGAAGTTTTAAATTCTGTTGTAATTTTAAAATTATTTTTAAAGATGGGCAATGTCAGAGCATGTGTGCATGCTGACATGGATAGTGGCCCTGGAGAGCTGCTGATGATGCAAAAGACAGGCATATATTCAGAAGTGAAGTCCTTGAGTAGGTATGAGGGGGAATACAGAAAGGAGGGAAGTTAGCCTCTGATAGGAAGAAAACATGGGCCCTAAAGGTGGATTTCTAGATTCAGTGAAGGGAAGCTGAGTGGTATCGGTCTTATAACTTCTAAACCTCAATGAAATATGAAGCCTGCTTATCTGCATGAGGAAGGGTGGGCTGCTCATGAGTTAAAGAGTGAGAAGAAATGATTAAATGGTTATAGACAAAAACATTAGGAATCTGATAGCCTTCCTGGGCTGAGAGCCTACTTCAGTTTTCTGGTCATGAATCTGAAGTTCTCTAATATTCAACTACTTAATGTGTACTCAAGGAAAAGCTAGATGAGGGATAAGGCAACTGTAAAAAGAAAACAATTCAAGGCTAAAAAATAAAATAAAAAATATGTATCCATGAGCTATATCACAGTCACTGACAATGTCCAATTAAACTGTTGTCTACGTAGCTCCATTTGTCTCCATCTTCTCAGGATAGAAATTCTTGTAAGTAATATATTTGTTGTATTTAGTCATGATATATTTAATTATGAGGGTTAAAGATTGTTTCTTTTTGGTCATGAATGGTTCTGTCACTTCCTAAGGTGGATTTAAAAAAATGAACTGGATAGTCTTATTGTAGATTCCAGAGGTGATTCCATTTCATGGCTTGAAGAAACTTTCTCTGTGTTAACTAGATCCTAAAACAGAAACATCCTAAAATCTTCCAAAGTGGGAGAAAAAAGAGAATGGGGATTAGACTTGGGTTGGACTTCTTAACAGAAATACCAGAAGCCAACAGAACAATGCCTTCAGAAGAGGGTGACTAATTTTTGATGTAGAATTCAATATTCAGCTAAACCACTACTCAAGTGTGAGGGTAAAATGAAGACATTTCCAGATACACATCTTCTGAATTCAGGAAGAATTTCAGTTTGTACGTCCCCTTTCTCAGGAAGGTGCTAAAGAATAAGGAAGAGATAGGATCCAGGAAATAAAGGATCCAACACAGTAGGAGGGCAAAAGGAATTCCCAAAGTGATGACAAACGGAAGTCCTAGGTGACAGCTAGGAAAAAGAAATACAACAGATTACCTGGAAATACTGAAAGATTATTAGTTTTGTCAGAATTTGAGAATGAGTCAGTGACTGGGACAAAGAAAACTAAGCAAATGAAAAACAAACAAAAGAGGCAATTATTTAATTTAGAGAAACAAAAGTCATACAAGACAGCAAATGTAATTATTAGTACCCTACAGGGCTCATCTGTGAACAACAGGTACACTGTCAGTCATATAAATACTGAATACTGACTTGACTGGGAAGTATAGGTAGGAGTGGGGGGATGGAAGGATGGTTATGTAGGACAACCAAGTCCTCAACTTCCAAAATAGAACTCCGCAGATAATGTCCAATGACAGATAATCAAGAAGTTTAAACATTAAAAATCAAATATAAAGGTAAATATCCGAAGGAAGTGTTGAGAGTTGAAGGTGGTTCAACATTCTGAAATTGCTGGTTTTTCACTACTCCCTAATCTAAAAACTGGCAATTCCACATAGTTTGAACTAATACATTATAATAACATAACTTTATTACTGATTTTTAAATGAGCTACCATTTGAAACAAAACAATTATTGATAGAAAATGCTCAACAGAAAACAAAATTCTACTTTCTGTTATCAGACATTGTTGGGGGGACAACATATCCCAGTTTGGAGTAAAAAAGTATCACCATACATGCTATTACCATCACTGACATAACAATATTAGTATTGCTAACAAAGAATACATTTACTAGTAAAACAACATTTAACATAATTTAATCTATTTTCATGACAAAGACATTACTTTAGAATTTTCCTTCAAACATCATACTACACAAATGCTAATCTATGGGTCGGTAAAGACTTTGATTAACAACAGGCTGAATAAAATGGCCAAGATGTTTTTCAGTTCCTTTCTTGATACAAATAATAGCTAAGTCACTCTTGCAAAATTAAAGTTCCACAATACTGCGGTACTATGCAAGCCTATTTCAGTGATAATTCCGGTTATACTACTCTGTTTATCTAAGACTTCCCCTTGTGGTTTGTTTTAAGGGAATTCCTAAAAAAAAAATTTCATGCCGGCAGTTATAAATTATCGGGGTTGCTTCAATATTAGTGACACTAGTTTATGAAATTAATGAAGCCTTTATTTGTAAGTTAACCTCTTTTAAGTCAATGACATTGAAATTTTATTTAAATTCTACCATAAAATCAAAACTTCTCCAAACTGAAAAGCCAACCTTTACTAATTTTAACTTCTACAAAAAAAGAATTTGACTATGCTAACATAGACTTTTACCAAGAATAAAATATCCTTATCCAACCAATGGAAAATTTCCCCTTCAAATTAAAAGCAAATGTTTTTAATAGAGGAAATATTCATAAACAAACACATGCTATGGAAGACTGCTTAAGTTTGGATTTCATTTTGCACTGAAAAACACCAGGAATTAAAATACACGTGATTAAAAAATAAGCTTAAAGAGAATCTTAAAACTGAACCAATTCAATTATTCACATCACCCAATAAGATCCTCTTATTTTTTTTTTTT